ATATTGTCATACTCTCTTAAACAGATTGTTTTCTTCATTGATTTCTCCAGAGCATCTGTATAGAAGCACCATCTAATATCCAGTTACACTCATTCATTATTTTTTACTTGTTGTTGTTGTTAAAAATAAGGATTGATTTTTATGCATATAACCTTTTGTTCAGTTTCTTTTTTGCAACTTGGATGAGCCAAACTTTTAGTTTCAACTCTGTAAATGTTTTCCTTTTCAAATCTCTAGCTATTAATGAGGCTACTTTTACATGTTAAAAGTCAGTGAACCTGAGAATACCACAGTGTAAGGTAGTAAAAAGAAATTTTGGTGTTACGATTATAGGATCTGTTTTTATGTGGATCTGCAGATTTTTGACAGATGTACTTTTCTTTGGACTCAGGGCAGCTCTACCCCAACCCTGGTTACTATCACTTGTGACCAGCCAAAGGAGACTGCAAATACTGGTTGTTGGATGATGCCTGTAAAATGTGTGAGGTGTGGGGTAGATGAGAGCCCCTTCAAAAAGGATGGTGTGTTGCTGGAACCATATTGGGTCATGGAGAACCCTGGGTTCATGCAGAGCTGGAAGATGAATTTCATATATCATTCGTTATTCTGCCACCCAGAGCAAGATCAAATGTTTGCCCAAACATAGGGATCTCAGGACAACAACCTACCCTACATCTTTGAGGTCATGGGTGTCTCAGTCCAAAATAGACAAAGATACTGCTAGATATTTCTTGTTCTTGTAGCTACGGGTTCTTGTGAGTGAGGTAAAGCAGATTTCTCCTTTGGTATTCCAGAGCACCACCAAAGAAGGTCCAGGCTACTTTTTTAAAAATTCCACGTAAATCACTCTAGGAATGAATGGATACAAGGACGGGCAGTGCAACACCTGGTGATGAATATTGTTGGACCAATATTTGACTCAATCAAACATTTGGATGAGGAGCTATTTAGTTGACTGGGCTACTATCATTGTGCTGACATTTTGGTATGGTGGAGAATCAAGCTTCCTATCAGACCAAATTCAAGTCTCATAAGAGAGATCCCTCGGAAAACTTGGGGACTTATATAGGTGATCTGCATCCCCTACTTGGGAAGCTATATCTCAACATGGCATCAGCAGATCATGAGGACATCCTGATGGATAAACTTATGCCAAGCAAAGTCATGTTACATCACTTGGGTGTTAGTAACACCTCACTGTCACAAAGATAACGTCTGTGGTGACTAGTTCTGAGGTGGGAACATCAAGCAGCTTGGCAGAAGAAAAAGCCCAGGCTATCCTGTTGCAATACCTACATCATGGAAATCTTGTGATTCACTGAAGGCTACACAACTGAAAGCATATCCCATCATCACAATATACACTGGTTACTAGTGAATGGGTAAAACTTCCCATGGTCTCATGTGACAGTTGTACCACTGCAAATGTTCTTGATGCATATACTCATATGTCACTCTTGAAGAGAGGACCACTGCCCATATTTTCCCTGAAGCAAGATAAATGAAATTACCCATTTTGCCCAACTACTCACCATATGCAAGGGGTTGGGGTAAGCAAGCTGTGGTTGCCTCCTCTTATTCTTTGGAGACACAATGATCAAATTCTATTGAAAGGTTTGGTGCTTATTCCATTCAAGGCTGGGTGGTGTTTGGATGCTAATGAAAATGCAGGGACATAAGGTTGAGTTCCTGATAATACCATAATGTACAAGAACCTTGGTCAACCTTGTAGTGTAACAAGCACTCCAGGTGAAGGCACCACTTCAGCCAATTCTTAACAACTTCATTTTTGTGAATAACAATCATCTAAGTATGAATGGAGTGGCACATCTCTGACTACATTTAGGTAATTTACTCACAGAATGAAGATGGTTGCCTCTGATCTTGTATTGAAATCCAGGGGATGGACATTGCAAAAATTGTTGGCCTCTTTTACCTGTGCAGTAGGTGAACTGTGTTTCAATGGGAGAGTCATCCAGTGCCAGCCAAGATTGGGCCCCAGAACAGTGCACTGCACAAGTATATGTTTCAAATTGTGCAAGTCGCGTTCCATGGTGGACTATGTATAAAGTCTGGTGCATTATAACCATATGTGGTAGTGGTGGAACCAGTGCATGAATACTTTGTTTCTTGTCCAGAAAAAATTATGCATTTACCTGAACAATTATTTGTCCAAGTAGGAGCACTGTTCTATTTTTGCTCTGTAATTATGGCTATTCAGCTTCTCACTTTAATGGTCATAGGTGCAATAAGCAAATGGAAGTAGCTGGAACTAACTATACAACTAGGGTTACTTCTGTCACACCACATCCAAAAACAGAAGACATATGGCTGTCAAAACATCTGAGGTTGTTGGTTAATGCTTGTGCAAACAATCTGAAATCAACACATTGACAGGAACTCGGTAATTACTGTTTAAATATGGCTGTGTTTTTGGCACCAGGTGGCTGTTTGGGTTGGAAAACAATAATATGGCACTACAGTTTGCTGCTCTCTCTTAGGTTTTTAATCACACTACTGATAATTTGTAACCAACTTCTCTATAATTGCTCTTCCATTGTCTGTTATGAGTAAAGCTGAAATGTACTTTAGGTGGACTTAGGATTATGACTGTGCATTTAGTCATTAAAGCATGCTTTAGTAGAAGCTGATGTTAGCATACTCAGTATGAAATAATCAATTCCTGATTGCTACTGATTCCAGCAGAAGAGGAGCTGGAGAGGTTTTTTTTCAGTGGTGCAAGATGGAGTTGAATGTTAAAGTGCATATGTTAGTCATACATTGACTTCTCCTGAACACAGATATACTGCATGACAAAAAAAAATTGCAGTTGTTGTGTTTGTCAAGCATTACAAACACTGTGTAAATGAAATTTCACCATTCGAGTGTACCATGCATGACTAAAAATGGCTTATGAGCTTTAAAAATCCGGAAGGAATGAATGCTTCTTGTATCACAATGTTGCAAGTGTATGACTTTGTACTATATCATTACCTAGACCTTCAACATGGAAACACCCAGATTGTTTCACCAATTGTCTACCAAGTGTTCTGATTCTAGACACCTTGTGGGAGGAAGTGGAAAACTCAATCTGTGCTGCAGCTAGTGGTGTCTGGAGGTGTCAAATAGGGGATACTTCAAGCTTTGTATAATGCAAGGAATGGATGCCACCAAAGTATTGCATGCACATATGCTAACATGTACAAGCAGTTTTTCTGGGCACATTTGCATCAAGATGTTGAGAAAAATGCCACCCAAAGGAAAAACTAGGTGAAGCAGGGTGAACTCTTAACAGAGAATTGTCAGTTCTCTATTGCAGATAATAGTTCTGAACGTAGCTGGTCTTCTCTTAAATAAATAAATAGCTAATCTATATGTGGTGTCATTATTGATTACCTCACTAAGGGGTTCAAAGTTTATCCATTGGTTGATACACTGTCACAGTCTGTTGCTGATGTGTTGGCTGAACAGTGGATAACATGAAGAAATCCACATGGACGAATGGAGCTAATTTTAATAGCCAGTTATTTTCTGACTTGTGTAAGGTGTGGTGGAAATGCACACTTCACCATAACACTCCCAGTCTAATGGAGGAGAATAATAGGTAATAAAGATCACAAGCAAATGTCTTAGATAAACACTTTCAACATGTCCTGATGGTTCATGCTCATTTTTGAGAAATACAGCTTCCTGTGGACATGATATATAGTATGCACCCTATAGCAGATGTGGCATAGTATCAGCAAGAACATGCAATGTGGTTGAGATATGGATTATTCAATGCACGTGGGTTTGTTTGTTGGTATGTGACAGAAGTTCTATGAAAAGGCAGTAAACAAGTGAAAGGTTGACTGTGGAGACTGGGTGTGACTTGGTACATGCCAGTAGCACTGTTATGATTTGACAGGTCCTTATTTCATTCTACAGCAGTAAAATTCACCAAGCTAAGAGCTACAGTGCTCACATGGCACATGTCGGCTCATTGAACAAGTTGAGAAACTGAAGCTATATGTCACAGACTCTTCAAAGCTGGTTAGATAAGATATCAGAGGTTGACACTAATGAGTTAAATGATTGTGAGAGGGTTGTTTTTTTACCATTTTGACTTAGCTGGGGAGGAGAAAGATGCTGGAAGTACTTATCTGGCAGTCTGAGAGGACTCACATAAGGAAACACCCGTAGAGGAGCTGCATGACAGTTTTGTGGTCATTTGAGATACTGAAGGGGCCCTCCTGATCATTATGGCTGGGATTAATATGCTAACTTTTGTGTTCTAATGCTGATACTGGTAAGAGTAATTGCTGATATCAAACACATTGATATTTTGAGACAGGTGTTGGGTACATGTGCGTGGTATACATTACATAATGGCTTGACTCATATAAACAATAGTTGAACTCATGGATATCCTGTGGTTTCCTGTCAGTGCAGAGATCCTGAGTCATGAAACTCATTGAAATTAAAGAGCGGCATTGGATTGATTTGCATATTTGTGTTGAGTTGTCAAGCAGGTGGCCTGTTAATTGGTCATGTCTGATTATTTTGGTCTTCATATCTACAAATTTTGCAATCAAAGTAATTGTGACTTTAATCATATTATCAAGCAGCTTGTTTGTAAAGCATTTGATAATTGACCATAACCTGTTTCTTGTTGCACCTGATTGTTAGACTAAAGAATGCCTACTCAGCCTTTCAGTTATTACATAATGGTCACTGACACTTGCTTTAAATATTTCAAACCTTCACTCTCAGAATTTGAAACCCAAGAGTATTTTCACCCCCAGTCCTGAAATCCTGTCGAGAACTCTGTACCTAGTTATAAGGCTAATGAATGTAAAGTGTAGGAGAGAATGATTGTCTCATGGTATGTTTTGATTTTAAAAATAAGTGCTTTAATAAAAATTTCATATTGTAGTTACATTGCTAAAACAGAATATTTATTTGTCTGTTAGTGGAATATAGTTTTAAGGTTTTATTGTAGTTATGTTTATCTTAAAGAATGGTGTAGTTATTTTCTTAGAAAATTATAGAATTGATTGAGAATCTTAAACCAATTTAACTTATAAGAATTAAATTGTTTAAGGTGCTTGGATATTTTTAATATACATTAATCTTTTTCTTTTCAAATTAAATGGATGTTTTTATCTTTTACAGTTTTAAATTATGTGTGTAAATTCTTCTAAATTTTTGAAATTTTTTTTTTATAAGTCTTCTTTGCAACTTTTTTTTTCTATCCCAATCTAAAAGCTTGTGTTAAAAAAGATGTATTTTTCATATAATTTTGATAAATTTATAGGCTGGATGTGTGCGAGTGTGACAGTGTTGACCAGAAATGGTATAATAGGTATTATTATCAAATACAAATTTAGTGTGTAGAAATGTTTAAGAACAATAATGTACAGAGTATTCTTTATAGTGTTTAAAGCTATATTGTCTTGTATAATAATAGCTACTAACCCAAACTGTCAACATGAGCCCTTAAAACTGTTTGTAGCCATTTTTCTTTCTGCTTGTATCTAACCTGTCAAAATTTTTTTGTGCTTAAAAAAACATGTTAATTTTGAGTTATGGTACTATTCAATATGTTTATATAACTTCATGTAACTAAGTGTTTGAAGATAAAATTAATCTAGCATTGTAACTGTTATTGTATATATACACACACACACTCTGATTCTGAGTTGTGCATTTGTTAATTAAGTATTATATTTTTCAAGTAATGTATGTTTTTTGAAATCATGAGTTTACTACATATGTTTGTTGTATGCAATTTTCTGTTACTTTTATCATGCCATATTAAAAAGTAAATTGTTCCAGATGTGCATTTTTTGTGGACTGCACAGCCTCCTGGCATGTGGGAGTGAACAATATTTTGATCTCTGTGATATAGGTTTTACTCTGTAGCAGAGAACCAACTGGTTCCATATTTATATTCCAAACAGATGCATTCCATATAAAATTCAAATCAATACAGTCTGCTCTGCCTGAAACTCCTCTAAAGCATTGCTATGTGCATTTTATAATATTTCAATGAGCACACCATTAAATTTTTGCACTTCAGATGTATTCAGTGATTTGGAAACTGTGGACATGGAGAGGGTTATACATGTACTTTTATATAGAATAATTACTTGTATCTTTGATATCAAAATATAATGTTCAAAACATCTTGAAAAATATTATAGTTTTAACATGCACAAAAATAAAATTTTATATGAATAAATATGTACATTTGTAGAGCAATGGTTTTGAACTTTGTTGATATGGTATGATTAGAAGAAAGCTGAATTCAAAACAGAAGAAAGTATTGAAGAAATCATGCGTTTTGAGTACTTTGATCCAGGCAGCCATTGGTGTAAACTGTGTAATGAAGTTAATTTCACTCTTCCCCAAGTGTTTGATCATCTACATAGCAACAAACATAAGCAGGTAAGTTAAGTACATTTTTGTCTCTTTGCTCTTCATCTTTCTGACTGGAATTATATTACATAATTTGACTAATTCTTTCGGTCCATTTGCTTCTTTATCTCTTCTGTGTAAAAGCATATGCGAGAAAAAAAGATATATTTTCAGACAATAGATGAAGTTTTTTGTTGTTTCATTTTGATACTGTTTGTAACTTTTTCAAAGTAAAACAATCAATAATTTTGGTAGTATACATTTGTTTTCGAAACACATTATGTTGAGACAGTAACATTGTTTTGTTAAATCATTATTCCTGAATTGTCTGTGGATGTTTACTTAAGGACTTGGGAGAAAAATAAAAGAATTTTATCAATTAAAGTAACTAAAGAGGTTTCCTAAAAATTCTCTATGATTTTATAGTTTTACAAAATTATGGAATAATATGCTATTACATAGCTACTTTTTTCTTGTTATTGTTATTTTATGTCTTACTAAAAATATTTGTTTTTTAGTTCCATTGATTTTATGTTATTAAACAACATAAATACATGACTGTCAAGATTCATATATGAAAAATGCAAATGAATATCAATATCTTCATATTTACTAATTTTTTTATTGTATGCTTGTATTGATAAGCTATAGAATTGTTTTATGTTTGAAAGTATTTGTTTGTTGTTATTTCTGTGGTAAAGTGTTTTTCTTTGAAGTTTACCATTAATAACTTCACGTTCAAGTAACTTCAATCAGAGAGAACACATGTATCCAGACCACTATTCAAAATAAAATGTATCCTCAATAATACACATGAAGCTGTGAAAGTTCTTTAACTTATTTGCACGTAAATAGGTTCAAAGACACCTTTTTTGTACATGTCACTGCATTGTTTTGTTGTGAAAAGTTACAGCCTAGTTTATATTAAACTTTTAAAGGTATATAGTGTAATTATTGTATCATGTGTTAAATGCTTATTATTGAATTTTCTGTGAATTTATATTTAAGAACATAGGAGAAAAGTAACTTGGGAGGTTTCATCAAAACCTTGTATGGTTTTATAGAGTGAACTATATAATCTGCCTTTCTTGGTGATTGAAGTATAGTGAATAAATTAAGATAAGATTGGATAAGAATTTTCTTCCAGAAGCTTATACTGAAGTGATGAGAATTTCACCAAAATTGTATCCTTGTGTATATATCACTCTCATCATTTACAAGTGAAGATGCCTTAAAGAAGAAGAAAACAAGAAGAAGAACCATATTCTACATGTATCTGCAGCAGCATATGTACATTTCGATTATAAAATTGAACTTGGAAATGCTTGATAACCTTGTTTGTTCTAAAGTAGAGTATCTACTCAAGATACAGCTTCACTGCTTTGCTTGACTCTAGATGAAGTGTTTTTTTTTTCTTTCAAATTGTTAATATTGTATTTGTAATTTTTTTAAAAATAAAACAATAACCTTGGTAGTATACATTTGTTTTCCAAACACATACTTACATTGATACAATAAAAAAAGGTATTTGGGGGGGGGGGAGAAGCAAGGGATAAATAAGGATTTTCAAATGGGTCCCTTCCATTGATGATAACCAAACATAGTATCCTCAGAATGAGGTATGTTTTGAAAAAGGTAGGATACTTTTTTTCCTTTACTTGACTTTTACCTGTAATATAAAAATTGTATCTTTAAAAAAAGTACAGGAACGTTTTTAGGGGAAAATTCAGTTCTATTAACTTTATAGAATTGCTGCTTGATTAAAGCCCGAGGAAATTTTTTCATAATCTGATATTAACCCTATCATGCCTGGGGGTGACTGCATCTCACTTTGAGGGAATAATTGCAGCATTGAATGAAAATAGTTATAGAAAATAAACTTGTAATCATTCTTCCACACACATAAAAAAAATAAATTCAGAATTGACTTTTATTCAAGAAAAAGTTATATTTATTTAATTTCATACATAAAAAATTAAAAATCTCAAACTATGATATTAAGTTTAGTTTGCTCCAAATGAAATCATTAGTGTTTGTTTCTTCAATTTTTTCTGAGCATAATATGGAACTCTTAACCCTGTAAGAGGAAACTTGTAATAGGTTTAAATAAAATAGTACTAATTTGACCTTGTAACTTGAATACACGTGAAGGTCTATCAATTTTTAACCAAGCACTGTTTCTAATCCTTGATTGTCATGGTATGATGTAGTTGGCTATATCTCTGCTTCATAGGTGTTATAGGCTAGTGATCTAAACATGTTATGAAAGCTCTTTTTCAGCTATTTTCAACTCTGAAGGTCAGTATGATTTCCAGTTCAACAAGACAGTGTAAAATTATTCCACTTATACAAAAGTATAAATAGTATCATTTTTAAAGTGAAAATATCTGTGGCCATGGCAGCACCCAAATGTATTGGAGACATTCTGATTATTAGAAATAATCAAAACAACAGATACAAAAACTAGATAGCAAGCTACAGGTTCAGTAATGGGCTAGGATCTGGGCACCAGAGCCCACTATGTTACAGATTCCACTACCACTCACTGTTGTAGGGCAAAGATAGTTACTCCTAAAAACAGAAATCTGATATTATCAGCCACCTTCAGTTTCTATTTAAAAAATTCACTTAACATCCACCCTACTTGCAATATGTAAAGTATAAGGTACATAACCTTTTTTTTTATTTTTCTATGTTCTATTTTTACAATTAAAAACTTGTTATATTTGTTATAGAAAAATATCCTGATTACCAATTTAAAAAAAATCGACATGTTTAAAATTTTGGTATGGTAAAGTTTTATCATATGCTAGATATAGTAAACTGAGATTGATATATAGTAAAGTGAAGTCAATATAGTAAAGTGGAGTCAAGATATAGGAAAGTGAAGTTGATATAGTAAAGTGGAGCCAAGATATAGGAAAGTGAAGTCGATATAGTAAAGTTGAGTCAGTATATAGTAAACTGAGATTGAAATATAGTAAAGTGAAGTTGACATAGTGGAGTCAAGATATAGCAAAGTGTAGTCAAAATATAAAGATATGATATTAAACACAATGAACCCAAGTGTAGCATTTGAAAAATCAAAACAAAGATAAGATTTATAGTTTTATGAAATAAAATAAGAGAAAAATTATTTCATTCAATAATTAAAATGAACAACAAAGGCAGGCATGTTTAATTGCTTAAAAAAACAACAGATCTTTTTATATCTTTGAAAGCTAAAAGTTCCTCTAAATATTACATATAAAAATGTTTTATTTGCAGTAGCCACATAATCTATAGAAAGATTTTAAACTATTTCATTCAGTAGATTGTTTTTGCAATGCAGGAAAATAAACCACACAACAGGTGTGTTGAATCAGTGCACCTGGGCATGATAGAGTTAACTTATAGTGATTTTTTTGCATCTGCAGAAGGTAAGTAATAAAGTGTTAAAACATAATTTACAATTATCCACAATTTGGTACTTTAAAATCTTATATCTTAACCTCCTTTTTTTTCTCTCTCTAACAAGCATTGTATGCTGTACGTCAAATAATATGTATGTTAGAGCTGGGTAATTAACTCAGTTAATCAATATAATCAATCACCTGTTAGCGTCAGTTAGTGTAATATAAAATAATTGATTAATCGAAATTATCATGAAAATAACCAATTAATCCAAATTTATGTTTCTGATCATTACTATTTTTGAGCATTCCAACTATCACTGGAAATTACAGTTAATGTTAGGAGTTGTGTTACAAATTTAATTTTTTGTCATCTTATGAGAATAATCTATTAATGAACCTGATGATAAATCAATTAAAAAATGTTAATTGATAGTCCAGCAGTCTGTCTGTAGTATAGCAGCACAATTTTGTGTTTGTTTAATGATTAAAAGTATTAACTTTTTGTCAACATTTTATTATATATGATTTAAAAATTCTAATGTTTGTCAAGAGTAATGGAACGGAAAAGTCTGTTTTTCAAACTATGCACTGAAAGCTAGTAATATTTCTGGATACTTTAAAAATTAATTACTTGGTCAAACAAAAGCTCTTTAGTTTTATAATGATTTGACAAACAGCAACAAAGTAACCAAATAGTCCACAGTTTGAAAATTGTTTGTAAATTGTGTTACAGTAATATATATATATAGATCATAAGCATTTTTGTTTTCTTAACAATAAATTATGGTATATATGCATCATAATGGCATTAATATATAGCAAAGATGTTATATCATGGTTAGTTTTGTAATGATCAGAAACATAAATTTGGATTAGTTGATTATTTTCGTGACATAAATCAATTTAATCACAATTTCAATTAATCAATTATTTTACATTACGCTAATTGATGTTGACAGGTAATCTATTATATTGATTGAGTTAATTGCCCAGCTATAGCATACATATTGTTTGACGTACAGTATAAAGAAGGATATCTCTAATTAAGAGTGCCTCATTATCACAGACCATTTGTTTAACCAACTGTTCAAAGATATCTGTCATCAGAGTTTACCAGAAGTGATAACTTAGAGTCTGCTACCAGGAAATATTCTAGCCTCAAACCACTAATCATAGACCAGAAAAAAAAAACAATAATTGCATAGTCTTGTAAATATCAATAGATGTCAAATCATATTGTTATTAACTTATTTCTTCAACACTAAACAGAATTCAATAAATAAAGTAAGTAATGTATTGGTTAATGAGTAGTGTTCCATTCCTCTCCTTGTAGAGGATACTCTTGTGGAAGAGTTGGTTGATTCCTTTAAAAAGTGTGGGACATTCATTGTATTCTTAAAAATGTTTGGTGATCATACTCATTAGAAAGTTCTGTACCAAGGGTGTCTTTTCTAAGACAGTAATGACCCTTGTCATGTATAGAAGATGGTTTAGAAGAGCATACATGACTGAAGTTATCTTTGTTGACCAGCATAGTAATTGGAGATCTTGATTTGATTATAAGATGAAAATATACATCAAATTTCTCAATGTCACCTTAAGGGAACATTTTTGAATGTCAACCAGTTGCAGACC